CCCTACCCCTAAAATCATAAAGCTGAAGACAATAAATACTGTTTTCCCAGATTTAGAGAAACTAGTCATCACTCCCCTCTCCAAGTCAAGCGGAGCACAAAGCAAACCACTGTTGCAATTTTAGGTGACTACAAGAAGGCAAGACTGACTCACTGCCTTGCAGTGTGATTGCTGAGAGGCAGGGATTCCAAAAGCCAATTTGCTGCTGCAGTCAGAGAAGAATGCTGTGAAACAATTCCTAGGAAAGCTGACCCGTGACCCTGGCTTCTCACCTGGGGAAATTAGAAGAAGGTTGGCTAGCTGGAGCCGTCTGGAGTAATAAGACCCAAAGAGGGTGCACTGCTAGAGCACCCAACAAGAATGTGTGTCCCTTGGGTAAAGTGGGCATAGGTATGGTACAGTAGGAGACTGTTGGGGGGAACAGGTGGCAAATGAGAGAAACTGTAGGAAGTTGAAATACGTTCTCCTCCTCTGGTGGACTTGTAGGGCCTTTTGGAAATTCTCAGACAGGTGCCTCAGTACAGAACTAATGTCTGGGCATCTGTCCCGCAGGAGGTCCCAATAGCCTCCTCTTCCCATTATGAAAACAATCTTGCCCCTTCTTTTCTACCTCTCCACCCAGATCAATCCTGGAGAATCCAGATACAGACTCTGGCAGAGGAGAAGGAGCAAAAATCTGACCATTCTTCGTTCCCACTCTAAGGTCAGGCTGGTGCTGTAGTTGTGGAAAACACTTTGAAATGAATATGGGATTCACTTTCAGATTGGACTTGAATTTTTACATTGGAAAGTGAATGTTAATTGCTGGCGTTGTTGTTTCAACAAAATTCAGCTGTAGATCTATAGTGACTGTCTAACAATCCAGAAGGCATGGGAGAGGGAGATTTTATAGAGCATAGATGAAAGAAATTATTGGAGAAAAAAATAAATGTTTCCAATAAGTACATAATGAAATGAAGACTGTTCAATATACTGGCTTTACAAAGAAGTGATGAGATATTAATTGGTAAAGCATTTAAGAGATTCTATGGCACACAGTAAGGGCTCAATTAATGTTAGCTGCTTTTATAACTGTTGTTGCTTCTCAAAAGAAAAATATCAAATTTCCATATGTTTCAAAATGGAAAGGGGACGCTTTGAATAGTAAATGATGGAAAATCACACAGGCAAAGATTAAAGAGCCATGTGTCAGGCATCAAATAATAAACATCCTGAATTGAATAGAAGATTCTTTCGTGGCTCCTTTAATTCTAGGATTCTATTATTTTAAGCCTGAGTTGTTTTTCCACTGTGGGAAGAATCTGTTTATTTTTTCCCAAATTAAACAGATAATT